GTATGTGGTGCTGAGGATCGAACCCGGGCCGCACGCATGCCAGGCGAGCGCGCTACCACTTGAGCCACATCCCCAGCCCCTGTGGCTCTCATCTTAAAACTCTAGGGCTGGATTCTTTCACTGTTTTCTAAAAAGTGCAGTCTGGGTTTCCACTGGGGGGCCTTGGCCAAAGCTGGTCATTTCCAGTCTGATCTCTGTCACTATGGGTTGAGGAAGAGATGCAGAAATGAACCATGTTATCCCAGGAGTACTAGGCAATTTAATGCTTCTTTGCTTTTGATCTTATTGAAATACCCCATTCTTTCCTTGCCTTGTCCCTCCCCTTTCCAGGTATAGAAACCAGTGCTTCTTGAGTAAGAGTTCAGATCAAATGTTATCTTCTGAGTTTAGTCAGAATGGCTTCTCCCTTCTGCATGTGTGTAGCTCATTTATACATTTCTGGTTTGTTATATTAGGTAATACGTTTATTGAGGGGAGAAATTAGCTTTTAATATCTTTGTCCCCTATAACACCTAAGATAGTCCGTAGCATTTTGTAGGATTTGTGGGATGAATGATTGCTTTCTGTGACATTTTTGTTTGGATTTTGTCAATTCTGATTTGTTAGCATAATATCAAATGCAAGTTGTAACTTAAACAGTGGCTAACTTTCATTGAGTACTTATTATGTGCTGTATGTTGTTCCAAGTACTTTAGGTGTAGTAGCTTGCTTAATCCTTATAATAGCCCTGTGATTATTATAATAGCCTTTTAATTATCATCATCCTCATTTTACTGGTTGAGTAGCTTATTCAAGGTCTCCTAGATAGTAAGCAAAAGAATTGGGCTTTAAATTTGGACAGGTTGCCTGTATTCCTGACCACTGCCCCATGCTGTGAGCTGGGGGGGGGCAGCCAAGACTTTGACCACTATTAATTTGCTTATGGAAGTTCATGGGATTGGAGTTACTTGAATTTTGTGCCTCCCCCAATGTGTTGCATTCATGTCATATTTGATGTCTAGAGCAAACCACAGGGTGCTCACCCTTAACCTCTTAGGAAGATTTGCCAAGTAAGAGTTACTTTCTTCCTAAAGTTTAACACTTGAAATGATCACTAGAAACATTGTAATGAAAATGTCTGCTATTCTTGTTCTTAGGATGGGGGTTCTTTGGATCAAGTCCTGAAGAAAGCCGGAAGAATTCCTGAACAAATTTTAGGAAAAGTTAGCATTGCAGTGAGTATGTTCAGTTGTTCTTCCAAGTTGTTTCATTTATAAATTGAGTTGGTAGGGAATAGATGAGGTGGGGAGGAAGCCAATGAAGGGAAAGTTTATTTTAAAACTGGGATTTTTCTCACTATCTTTTCCCTATCTAGAGTCTAGATACAATATCTCTTTCTTTCTTTCTCTCTCATTAGAATGAGAAAAGTTACTTTTTATATGTTAAAATCTGTGTCTGAAAAACAAGACAAGGTATTTAAGAAAATCCCCATTCATGGTATTAGAAAAGCTCTGCTAAATTGCAGATTTAGAAAAACTTGAATTCACACATAGTGTTTTTTAAAGTTGTTTAATTTTGAGATAATTAGGTTAACTTAAAAATAACACTTTAGATACCACATAAAAAGATGATTGCTTGATAGGACAGGTTAACACAGTGAAACAAAAGAATAAAAAGGGCTGGGATGTAGTTCTGTGCTCACCCAGCATGTGTGAGGCCCTGAATTTGAGCCCTAACATCGTCAAAAAGAAAAAGGATAAGGAAGGATGGCAAATTTACTAATGATGTTTGGTGAAATATTTTCTAGGTCATTTTAAAATAGATTATTTTTCTGAACATAACTATTTCCATTTCCCATCCTTTTATATTCCCTTTCCTCTAGGTAATAAAAGGCCTGACATATCTGAGGGAGAAGCACAAGATTATGCACAGAGGTAAGAAATTACTTGCTAGTTATTATGTTCTGAATTTCAACTGAAATCAAGCATCTTTTTGTGTGTTTCATTTTGTTTTGGGGTAAAAGCCTTTGAATTATGGTTTTAGTCTTCATGACATGTTTTTGTGTAGTGTGGTGACTGAGGCCGCGCATTTCACCTGTCTGGTCCTGGTATGCGCCTGTCCCTCCTGCCATGTGTACTAGCCCTCTGGTTTTCCACGAGGAGCTCTGCCATCATTTCCATTAAAGGGTGGGAGATTTCAGATCAACCTGGAATAACCAGCTTTCTTTTCCCTTCTGCCTAGTGTAGCTCCCACCTTCTCAAATCTTTCTTTTTGGCTTCCCCAGTTATCTTGTGTATACCCAAGGAGCTGCTTGGTAAGCCACACGGGTCTGTGCAGATGTCTTTGGTGGAGAGTTCACCACTTGCCCAGCCAAGAAGGGGAAGTTGTTAGAAGGACTCTTGCCCCATTGAGCACTGCTGTTATGGCTCAGCCTGGCCAGCTTTTCAGATTCCTTTTTCAGATTCCTGCTCTCTTGGGTCTTTTCCAGAAGCCCTGGAGGAATTAACAAGAAGGCATATCTTGATTCCTGAGCAAAAAGACAGTGGATGATTTGTGGAAACCTGAGTTAGGGTTAGAATGAGAGAGCACAAGTCTCCCTAGTGTCTCTGTCTTCAGGCTTCCTCATTGCTAGTAAGTTCTATCTCTGGTCTAACTGTTGTCTTTCCTGATGAAACTTAAACTCCATTTCTTCTTATTCTGTTCTTGAGAAAAAAATAGGGAAGAGTAAAAGGCTTCTTCTCTGCTTTGAATTTTCATTTGTTCTTATTTGTTATTTGTTTGCTGGAGAGAGCTTAGTGATTATTTCAAGTCTTTTTTTTTTTTTTTTTTTGGTACCAGGGTTTGAAATCAGTGTTGCTTATAACCCTGAGCTACATCCTCCACCCTTTTTATTATTTTTTAATTTTTTAATTTTGAGACAGGGTCCTGTTAAGTTGTTTAGAACCTCATTAAGTTTCTGAGGCTGGCTTGGAACTTGGTGTTCCTCCTGCCTCAGCCTCCTAAATCACTGAGATTACAGGTGTGTGCCACTGCCTGGCCCTCAATTACCTTTTTCTATATAACAAACTTAGTAGTTTAAAACTGCAACAGTTTGTTACTTTCCAACATTCTGTGGGCTGGCAGATTCACTATCCTCTGATAGTCTAAAGCCCTGGCTTCTTTCAGTGCTATCTTTGGGTTTTCAGCAGCAAGAGCTGGTACATCACAATATTCAGGCACCTTTTAAACCTCTGTTTATGTCAGGTTAGTTGATGTCCTGTTGGTCAAGGTAGATTGCCTGGTCAAGGTAGTTGCCTGGTCGAGGGAGTCAAGATTTAAAAAGCAGTGTGAAGACCCGTTTTCTTGTTAGAAGAAATGGCCAGTTTATTTTCACAGTAATTAAAATCTAGGTTCAAATCTTATATATGCTACTTACTGTCTAACCTTGATTGAATTAGTTAACTTACCCCCAAACTCGGGAAAACAGAGGCTACCAAAAATGTTGTAAAGATTAAGACAATACAAAGCACTTGAAATAGTGTTTGACACATAGTTGGCACTTAATAAATGTTAACTGCTGCTTAGTAGATGGATTAGTAGGTTTTTCTGGGTGGGGATTGGGGATTAAACCTGGGGTCACTTAACCACATCACCAGCCATGCATCCCCCACCCCCTTTTTTGTAAGTACCGCACGCTAACCGATTGCGCCACTGGAGCTCCAGACCACCCCCCTTTTTTAATGCAGTGTCTTGTTAAGTTGCTTAGAGCCTTTCTTAGTTGCTGAGGCTGGCTCTGAACTTGTGATCCTTCTGCATCAGTGTCCTGAGCCGCTGATTACAGGTGTGCGCCACTGTGCCCTGCATGGATTAGTAGAGATTTTTAAATGATCACCAGTGTCGGGTACAGTGGCATATGCCAGTAATCTCAGCAACTTGGGAGGATGTGGGAGAAAGATCAAAAGTTCAAGGCCAGCCTCAGCAACTTAGCAAGGCCCTAAGCTACTTAGTGAGACCCTGTTTCAAAATTTAAAGGACTAGAGATATGACTCAGTGGTAGAGCCCCCCTGGGTCTAATCCCCAGTACCACCAAGTAAATAAATAAACAAACAAATAAATAAATAAATAACAAATTATCAGCAACAGAAACCATCCTGACTTGGTTTAATTTTCTTAAAACTTATGCATTAGAAGGATTCTGAGGAAGCTAGAGAAGCCCTTTTTTGGGGGGAGGGTACTAGGGTTTGAACTCAGGGGCACTCAAACCCTATTTTGTATTTTATTTAGAGACGGGGTCTCATTAAGTTGCTTAGCACCTCAGTGTTGCTGAGAATGGCTTTGAACTTGTGATCCTCCTGCCTCAGCCTCCTGAGCTGCTGGGATTACTGATTTGTGCCACTGCATCCCGTTTAAAGAATCCATTGAGGGCTGGGGTTGTGCAATTGCCTAGCATGTGCAAGGCCTTGGGTTCGATCCTCAGCACCGCATAAAAATAAATAAAATAAAGGTCCAACTACAACTAAATATATATATATATATAAATAATTCATTGAGAAGCTGAACCTATAGACTAGTTTGGCAGGAAGCAAGGCTTTGCTGGTTGGGGAGCTGGTTCATTGGAGCAGAAAAGCAGCCACCCTAGTTCACAGTTATCATAGTGCTGCTGCTGCTGCTGCCTCTGGGCCTCTTGGCTCTTTTCACTCTTACTGTGGGGTGGGGTGGGCTGTGGGTTCACCAACTCCTGAACCTAGAGGGGGTCCAGGATCAGTGCCTCTGAAGCATCTGTTCTCACAATAATTATGAAGGTGGGCTGGGGTCTAGCTCAGTTAGTAGAGCACTTGCCTCACATGCATAAGGCACTGGGTTCAATCCCTAGCACCATAAAAATAAAACAAAACAAATAATTATGAAGGTATCAGGGGACACCGTTCTTTCCTGCTGAGTGTTGTGGGCAGGTTGACACCTCATTTTCAAGACTAGCTTAGGAACTTAGGGTTTTAAATTATTAGGTTGGAAGTGATTTCTAGATGCGCTCTGCTGTAAGTAAAACTAATGTACAAGAACAAAAAATAAGTAAAAATAATGAAAAATTGTTTTACAAAAAGAATTCAGTGTTCACTTCAGGATCCTTCAAATATCACTTCTCATAGAAACTTCCAAATTATGTCAACTTGATTAGAATATTTCTCTTTAGGGATATGCCATTAACATAAAGCTAGGCATACCTGCATTTGAAATTAATAATAATAATAGTAATAATGATTATTATTATTTTGTGGTGCTGAGGATTGAACCCAGGGCCTTGTGCATGCAAGGCAAGCACTCTACCCACTGAGCTATATCCCCAGCCCGACAATTATTTTTTGATGAGGGGAAGTACAATAATGGTATTTAAAGGAAGACCAAATGATTTGGGGTAGCATTTGGATATGATTTTTCCAGCTAGGTGGTAGATACCTTTCTTCAACTGGGTGAATATGTCCTGGTCCTAGTTTGGTACCTTGCCTTGTTGTAAACATGGCCAGCTTTCTTACATATGTAGCATGACTACAACAAATGGGAATCTAGAGATAAGCAGGTTCTCATCATTCTTTTTTTTAATTGGCAGGTGGGTAATTGGGATTAATCCCAGGGGCACTTAACTACTGAGCCACATTCCTAGCCACCACTCCCCACCCCTTTTTTAAAATTTAGAGACTGGTCTTGCTGAGTTGCTTAGGACCTTGCTAAGTTGCATAGGTTGGTTTTGAACTCACAATCCTCCTGCCTCAGCCTCCCTAGTTGCTGGCATTATAGGCATGTGTACCACTGTGCCTGGCTCATCCTCATTTTAGAGTGACTCATTGGCAGGGTTTCTTGAGCAGGATAGGTACCACCAGCTATTCTGGATTTCATCTATGGTGAACTGGTCCCCTGTAATGTCTTCTGGTATTGTCAGGTCATGGTATTCTCTTTCCCCTGGGTATTCAAAGAGAGAAACAATCCTGTGGCTCACTGTGGTACATGTGTTTTATGGCCTGCTGATCAGGGCACGGGTGTGAGATCTATGACTGTTCTGGAAGTATGAGTTTCTTTTTTAAAATTTTTTAAAACGTTATATTTATTTTTTAGTTTTAGGTGTACACAGTATCTTTTTATTTTATTTTTTTTTTGGTGCTGAGGATCAAACCCAGTGCCTCACGCATGCTAGGCAAGCGCTCTACCTCTGAGCCACAACCCCAGCCCCTGGAAGTATGAGTTTCATCTGAAGTCTCTGTATGACTTTCTGGTGAATGGCCATAAATAGGTAACTCTATATGCTCCTCACTCCTCTCCTCATAGTCTCTTCCCCCATCTGAGACAAGTAATTCATATTTGTAAAATATTTATAGAATACCTGCCAAGTGTAAGATACTGGATGAATCACTATGGAGGCCATAAAGATGGCTCATAAATGAATTGTGTCTTCCAGAGGAAAGATGTATCTACAGATGACACTAGTATATGGTGGAACATAACCATTGTCATTTTTATGCATGAATCATTACTTTATCAACTTTCAAATGGAATATGATGTGACATAATTTATTAGTCAGAATTCTTTGGTTGTGTCAGAACTCAAGAATGTGTTCGATTAAGTCACCACGAAGTCTGAAGACATGGATGAAGATGGGGTTGAAATGACAGCCTCAGAATTCTTGTCACCTCTTGGCCTTGCTCATTCTACTGTGGGTTTGTTTCCCTTTTAGGCAGGTTCTCTTTACTGAGGACTAGATGGACCTCACTAATCCGAGACATATTTAGACCTTAGTGCTCCCTATCCCAGAGAGAGAATTTCACTTGATCTCCCCAGCATCCAGATTCCTACTGGACCCACTGGTTTACTCTGATTGGCTGTGGTGGGAGTGTCTTCCCATGTTGGGCCCATTGCTGTGCCCAGGGCCCTGGAGGGTAAGCCACTGTGACTTACATGCTCAGC